GAGTCCGAAGGGCTAGAGAGGTTAGTGACTGAGATACGGCCTAAGTGCCGAGATGCAAGCTGTGAGGTATATGGATCGGGTTGCACGCCGCAANCGGGTTGCATGCCACAACAGTATTCGATCAGACTGCGTGTCGTAACAATATAGCGCTTGGGCTGAAGGAGACCCTCCGGAGTCTGTACACCCCCAGTGAGCGCAGGTACCTATTAAGAGTATGTATTGTGGGCTGAGAGCCAATAGTATGAGCTGTTGAGATGAGTTGAGTGATTGCTGCCTTGAGAGGTTGTACTTCTTTTTATTTATTGTTGCACGTAGTTGTTATCTGTTGTTGTGAAATTTCTAGAAGATTCATATCTGTTTTACTTGAGTTCGAACTGATTTGACTTATACCACCGGATTTGAAAGCATGTTCACTCTTTACTGAAAACTTTTGAAATGATATGTATTTTTTTATAGCTCGTCACTGCTTCTCAGTTCCTTATTTAATTATGTTATTTGCTGAGTTGATTGTACTCATACTATACCCTACACTTCATGTGCAGATCCAGGTGTGTACGGTTATGGCGGTCGCTGAGTTCGTGCGCGAGCTAATTATCGGAGACTTACGAGGTAGCTGCCGGCGTCCGCAGTCCTTATTTCTCCTTTCTTATTGTCTTATCTCTCTTGTATTGGCATTTGGCACAGACTGTAGTAGACTCTGTTTCTAGATTGGTTGTTAGATGCTCATGACTTAGTGACACCCCTATGTCGGGCTATCAATCTGCACTTGTGTTTTGGGTTTTTACTCCGTTATTATGTAAACCTTCAGTTAGTTTAATTTCTTTAGCTCACTTCTGTTATATATTGAAAGCATATTGAGAATGTCGGCTTGCCTAGTTCCACGATAGGCGCCATCACGACTGGTTAGGTATTTGGGTCGTAACAGGTTAATATTTCCGTATTTTTTTTAAAACGTCATACAAGAATCGCTATCCGAAGTTAGAATGCGATAAATATGTACTTACATAGGACTTTGACAAAACTCTCTAGACATTTTTACTAATTTCAAAGTGATAATACGGAGCATGAAAGATGTCCAACATAGAGATTCATCGCACTATTCTATGGTAGCGTAAAACAAAATAAGCAAAGATAAGAGAAATATAAACCATACAAGTGGAAAGATAATAATCAAGTTGGACTCAAGAATAGAGCTTATTAAAAGAGTAGTATCCAACAAAAGAAATCTAAATCATACGAGGAAAGATATCCAATACCTTGTGTCTTGCTACCGAAGATCGTTCGAATACCTAGTGGCTTGCTACTCAAGATGTTAGAACTAATTTAGTTTCGATGTTAGTAGTAGAATATGTTCGGAAGTTGGGACTTTGGATATTAATTATTTGGTCATTTGTAGCCATTTCCATAATCCCAAGACCCAAAAAAAAAAACTTAATGTTTTGCTAGTTTTAAACTTAGTATATAAAATATATTTTTCATATATAAATTTATTCGGCATGATTCGGTATTTTTTCGGTTTACTTTCATAAAATTAAAAATCTACCATATTATTCGTTACGGTCATAAGTTTATATAGAAACCTATGATTTTATTAAATAAACCTAATAATAAGTGTGATACGGTTCGATTCGATCGGTCTGATCGATTTTTGAAGATCATCCCTATACAAGAACCGTGTGTAATTCTTTCTTTTACAGGAATGCATACGGAAGCGGAAGTAAGAGAGAATTATTATTTATTTATAATCTTGTTATTTTAGTAATTAAAAAATTTAACTTTTTAATTATTCTTGTGAATAATATTGTTATTAAGGAACACTTGACTAGAAAATTAACAATTCATTTTAATCTAAAGAAGACCAACCGAGAACAAAATTTTATTGGTAAAACTAAATACTGCTAATTATATTCTCTAGTCTTTTTAAATTTTCATAAAACATTTACAACTCATTCAACAAATTTACATATAAGCTTCTTAAGACATATTGTAACAAATAAAAAGGGTTGAAGAAATTCACAAATTATGATAGTTGTAGTAGGATGAGGAAAAGACTATACTCATTATTGGTGTCCAATTTTTCCAAATAATTGATATATACATGAAAATGACTCCAAATTTATGACCATCTTTGTATTATTGTACCTTCATCTCCAAATATTCCAATTTCGATCCTTTTGTATTACAATCCTAAACAGACAATCTAGTAGTGGAAAATCGTTTTCCACAAGACGTGGAAAAATAATCCACATATGATACATGCATTTGCAAATTAAAATGAATAAAGATAAACAATTCACATTCAAAGAATTATTTGCGTGGGTCCACTTTTTTCAGGTGGATGTCCACTACAGTCTCTTTGTACTCAACTTTTTTTTAATTACTTTTTATATGCCAATTGAGAATTTAAAATATGGGGTTTTACCGGAATAGCCCGTCAGATTAGTGGGGCGGGCTTATTAGTGAGCTAGGATTCCGGACTGGGATATTCCGGATTTTGGTGGGCCCGTCCGGGTTCGGGCTTATAGGGTCCGGACTGGGTCGGGTTAATTTTTTTTAGTATATTATGTTTCCTTGTTCAATGTAATTGTTACTTAAGTGTTTGCAAACTTTTAAATAATAAAATAAGTATTTTAAGGCATACAATTAAACTTTTAAACTTTAAAGTTTAAAGTTTTAAATTTAAAAATTGAAATTAAGTGGCTACATAAAATTATTTAATAAGACCAATATGTAGGGATCAAACTTCCAAGGCTTTCATTTCATATTTTCATTGCATAATAATACTTCAAATTATCTTGCCTTATAAACTAACACATTAAACTTAAATAAGTCTAACAAATTTAAAATAACCCAAATTGTCTCAAATCAACTTAAATACGAATTCTTGGAGGACGCACAAAACAACCCTTGATATGCCTCCTTAAACCAGTTGTGCCCTCCCACTCTCGATGAACATTAAAGACTCGACCACAATTCTTGCACTCTACTTTGCGAACTTCTTCATTTTCTTCTACCACCTCAAAGTGTTCCCAAATATGTGAATGCACTCTAAAAGCACGAGGCATGATTTAACTTGAACCTAACAAAAAATGGTAACCACACTTCACTTGATAATTATAATTTGTAGTGGCTACCGTAAATAATTGATAAAACTTGAAATATTAATTAATTAAGAACCTGAGAGCAATAAGCAATTCAATAATCAAAAGGGAATTGAGAGAGAATTAGAGTAGAAGAAGAGACCAAGTTGTGAAAAAAATAAACAAGAGGGGGGCTATTTATAGTTATTAAAAGGCTAAGAATGTAATTTATCAATTATTAGGGGGGTGGAGGGGCAATTTTAGTAAGGGGATAGGCCAAAATAGCTAAAAGTACAAAACATGACCGTTGCCCAACGGTCACTTTTATTTTGACCGGTCAGAATTTTTTTAAAAAAAATTACAACATAAACCGGGTTGGACCGGGCTGGAAGGGTTAGCGAGCTAGCCGGGTTCCGGTGTACCGGTAGCCAAAAAAGACCCGATCCCGTCCGGCACAACCCCCTACCCTAACCAATCCGTCCCACCCCTTGCCGAATCGGGCTGATCCGGACTGACCCGGATCGAAATGGATTGTTAGTGGGCCGGTCCGACCCGATTAACACCCTTAATTTAAAATCGGTAGATTTGGAGGAGAGATTAATATTATGTGTTTAAAAGGCCTCAAATAAAAGAACAAATTCTTTTTTAAAAATACCTAGAAAGAAAATTAGCTCTAACAGTGCGGTAAATACACACGAACAAATATCGTTTAAATCCAAAAATAAATATCTTTATAAAATTCTAAATCATTCATGAACATCACTGCAAAAATAATTAAAACATTTATAGATCGTGCATAAATAACCAATAAATAGTTGCATTTAAGTAGTGACAAATTAAGACTTTTATACAAGCAGGTTCAGACATATATTAAAGTCCTACAAAATAATCAACAATAAAAACGACCCTAAGTTGACAAACAAACACGATTTACCTAGTGATATTTATTTTGGTTCTTAACAAAACCTTAAAAAAAATGATTTGCCCGTGGCCAAGGCCCTATAATTAAGAAGTTTGCCACGTTTTTGAAGTTAGAAGAGTGGTCCCATTATTAATTTATTTTGAATTGTAAGCTTCAGATAAAGTGACGGCTTTCGAACTTCAAACTGATGGTCTACTTTTGAAAAATGATCAACTTCTAACTATAAGGCCACAAAAGTGGTTATTTATGCAAAGAGTATCTTGTATACACAAACAGTATAATTATTTTATATATTATGATGTCATCTTATAGAGGTAACATGTTTTATTTCAAAAATTATTAGTCCCACTTTTTATGAATTCTTTTTTGGTGACCTGATAATATAAAATATTCTTTACACTATAAAGATACATGAGTTAAACTTGTGCAATTAAATTAATTTATCTCACAACACTACAAAAAAAAAATAGTGTTTAGCGACGGACGTATTCCGTCGCTAAACATGTTCAATTCGTCGCTAAACTGCTTTAGCGACGGATTTAAGTTGGTATCTAAAATGCTCGTAGCTAAGCTCATAGCGACGAAAAATACAAAACCGTCGCAGATCTAGCGACGGATTACCGACGCAATATATCCATAGCAAAGTTTAGCAACCGAAAAAACTGTCACTATTTTGGTTGGTTTCGTCGCTATTTTGACTAATTTTGTCGCTACAATTCATAACAAAATTCGTCGTTTGTTCTATTAGCAACGAAATAATTCGTCGCTATTTTTTCCTGCTTTTAGCGATAAAAATCTTTTGTCGCCAATCCGTCGCAATATTTAATTTAATGCATTAATTTGAGCTACGAAAAATATCTGTCGCTAATTATTTTTAAATTTTTTATTTTATTTATTATTTTAAATGTACCATGTTCAAGCATATTACATAAATGCGATTAAATACACTTACTTAAAAGTGACTGATATTAATATAAATTACATTCAACAAGGTCCAAAATATATAGCATAATACATATAACTGTATCGTTAAGTACAAAACATCCACAAGCATCGACAATAAAGTCTAAACAAAATAGGCTAACTATGCGAGGCTGGAGAGTCACGGTCATCATCAGAACCCAATGCATGAACCTCATCAATGTTAGCAGCAATAGAAGAAGTAGGAACTGTAGGTGCCACATCTGATGGGTGGTTGGTAAGATCAATATTTGGCTGATGTGAGGGTAAAGAAACTAATTCGCGTACCCGCTCAATCATTACAGGAACTATATGATCTGTCAGTACAGAAATCAATTGTGTCACTAACTCATCCAGATTCCCTATCAGTGTTGATTGAGCATTTGAAGGTGTTGCATCAGATCCAAAAGAGTCACGAAAATTCGGCCTGTAGTAGCATTTTGCTTGAGATCCAAGACCATATACTCTTTTTTTCTTTTCTCATCCCGCAGCTTCATAATATGCTTTACACTGATCAATATCAAATTGACTATGTATTTGTTGCTGTAATATTTCCTGATATTTTCATGTAGAAGAGTTAATAATTAGTGAAATTGAAACATTAAAGAACATTGAGTATTCAATTTACAAAATGAAAAAAGATATGAAAGTAAAGTCAATAAAATTATTTAATAAGTTGACTTACATGTACGATTCGGAATTTCTCACCAACAAAAGATTTTTTATCATTACCATGTGTATGGACGTGTAAATGTATCTCACTTGGTGTTGGATCTCGACCCTTTTTAACAGCCTTTACAAAATATGTTCAATTCAAAAGATTGACAAAAAGACGTTTGTATAAAATGAGATTGAAAAATAACATAGAGAAAAGGAAGCAACTTAAGTAGAACAGAGAAACTAAAAACTAAGCAAGTTCCCACCTTCAAAATCTTGTTAGTTTAAGGAGATAACCAAAGGAATCTGGATTATTGAATTAACTGAAACTTTTCTCCACTCCACTTAATCTATGAATCTTGGATATAGGGCAAAATTTATCAAGTGCGCTTAGGGATGTTTCTTTCCAGCACACAATAGAGTACCTGAAAAGAATATTTTAATTTGTTTCTTGAACTTCCATGTAAATTAAAGACTCTCCAAACCTCATTAGTCATATAGCTAGCTTTTGATTGCAGAGAAGTCTCCAAACTGGTTTTGAAGCTCCCAATCCTAACTCCCACCTCCGAAATCAACTCCAATGTGCGCAAAGTATTTAGAGCAAGACAACTTAAAAGACATAAGAACTTTTTTCTTTATACTAGATTATGATAATAACAACAAATTGATAAAGATAGTAGGGAGAGAAGTTTAAGGTTCTTATTGGCTCAGTTGGATTCAAGAGCAATAAGGTGCCTTATGTTAAAACACTTCTCAACTTTCTAAATCAGCATTCTAATTTGTCAAACACGGTACTATGGACTCCAACAACCACTCGTGTCGTTGTACTTTATGTTAATGCTTATGCTTATGTCATGAAGTCTCAGGTGAGCCTTCACTACTCTATCTAACTTAATTACAGCTCAGTTTCAGGAAATGTAGAATGACTAAGCTTTTGTTAGATATTAATATTTAACAGTTTATATAACAGTGAAAAGGTGACAAAGTAAGAAATATAGTTTCTGCTTTTGGAAAGAAGTGCAAGTGAACTAGATAGATGAAAAAGAAAAGGAGATTATAGGTCAAGTAAGTAGACATGGATGGCGTAAAAAAGAAGATCAGAAGATATTATCATCCAAGAAAATAGATCAGCTTATAGCTAGGTCTCCAAGAAAGGTGCACTCTTGTAAACAGAAAGCTCAACAACTAGCAAGGAAGAAATCAATACCTAAAATTCCTTCATCCAACTACTAACTTCAATTTTGGCACACATTGACAACCCGGATTTTTCGAAAAGAAATTCTCAAACAATAATTTCAAGCACAAAATATTAAAAATAGAACAAGAAACAATCCGCAACTCACAACTTACCGAACTTAAATAAGATTTACAAATTCGAATTAGTGCAAACTTAAATGAGATTTTCAGATATTTTATATACACTTACAAGTCTCTTGCGATGCTCCCCAACACTGATAGATCCACCCATGTGAGTCCTAATGGTGACTCCGCTTCTACCACCAGAATGGTATTTTGCATTTATTTCTGATTTTTCCACACACTTAGGATCTTTCCAAAGTCTCATCCAACTTTTTCACACATTATTTGGAATAGATTTCCGTTGCATCTCATTTGTTTTAGTTTGCTAATGAAATCACTGTATCTTTTTGCTTCCATATGCCCCCATTGGTTCCACACAACAATATCAATTGAAGAATCTAGTAGAATACCTTCTGAAATAATTTTGTAAAGTAATAACATTAATAAGTTACATATAAAAGTTAATATACTTTCTAAATTCAATTGTGATGGATTATACCTTGAATTCTCCAAAATAAAATCTTTTTGTCTCAACCGAGACGCTTTTCCAGTTGATTCCATTAGGAACAAGTTCATGCTTGAAAGAATTAGTTATACACTCGAGCATTCTCTTGAAGGTTCTAACCTGAATAAATTAGAAGACAATATTTCAAGGTATACCATATATCAATATAACAATATATAAAAAATAATAGTACAAGCATGGACTAACCTTGTGGGAAAAATAGTAAGAAGCGTTCGCTGCCCACGGGTACTGCTACATTCAACTTCGCCTATAAGGTTGCTTTGAGAAGATGTACCCTCGCCTATTGTGTTGCTCTGATTAGGTATAATTGGAGATGGTTCCAAATTAATAGGTGGGGTACTACCATGGGATGATGTTTGAACTTGGTTGATGTAATCTGATCTACCGTAGGAACTGGTGCCACCTTGTTGAGGACTAGTTGTGGGAATAGAAACAGTATGCATGTTTTCACGAGCAGCACATTTACCCCTAACTGAAGATTTGCTTACACGACCTGCACTATCTTGACCTCTCCCTCGAGGCATATCTATAAAATATATAAAAAATAAAAAAGGATATGATACAATGCATATCTAATTATATTATTCATCTAAAATTTATTAGCAAATATCAGGTTTTAATCACTTTCTTTCTATGCAAAGTCAATCTGCTAGATATTATTACAAGTAGTTTATGGCTACAATCACGCTCTAGATTATCCATATTCCTATTTAATATTGAAATAAATAAATTATAGGTAAAGTGAATGCTTTCAATACGGTATACAAAAAATAAAAGTACCGATCGACTAAGTGTACTCCTTACAATTTTGAACAATTAAAAAGATATCAACATACAACTACACTAAGATCACTCCTAATTTGAATTAATTCCGTTAACTTAAACAATAAATATAGCGACAACGATTCACAGATCCATCTTTTCATAAGTCAATCATTCCGTTGCCAGTAATTGATCGGACATCTTGTACAAAAAGAAAATTCAACTCTATTATTGCTAGTCTTTTGATTGTAATTTGGGAAGAATTATTACAATGATACTTCGATAGATTAAGGAATTCAGAGCTCTGAGAACTTTACGAGGAACCAGACAAACTATTGCAACTCATTTCTATGTAAGCTATCAACGTGCGGCATCTAGTGCAGAAACTGAGTAACATCAATTAGAAGAAATTGCCCAAAACAATGATCTCATAAAACTTCTATTAAACAAGATAAATGATCACCTTTGCAAATCTGAATCTATCTTTTCCAGAACTGATACTATAGCAAAAAAGTTAACCTATTCAACTATCACATGGCAAGACATCTCCATTTCTTTCAAAAGTCCTTTTTAAACTGAAACATAAGGAAGAAAAAGTGTTAGAATCCCAAAAGGATGGCAACTTGTTTTATTCTTTTCTTCAACTAATTTAAAAGCAAAAATTAAATAAGTAAAGGCAAGTCATGGCTACATTACTACTTATTAGTGTTAGGAATGTTAGCATCCATCTTGCGGTGACATAAAACATATCAGGAAGGGATAAAACAAAGCAATACTTTTACAATATCATAACTATAGTCGACAAAGATCCTTAATAATTTAACAACTCTAGTCCATAGAGTGTCTCAAGAAAAATAAGCTAATTTGTTAAGAGTTTATTTTTACAATATCACTATTGTAGTACTCAGAAAGGCCTCGTGAAAATGGATAAGCTAATTTGCTTTCTTCTAACAGATGAGGAGACAAGTAAAATCTGACATCATTAATTTTAAATGGTAAAAAGAATATTTGATCAAGAATTTTTCATACACTCTGAGGTTACAATAATTCTTTAACAATAGTTACTAGTATAATACACAAAGAATCTCATGAATGGATAAGCTAATTTGCTTTCTTCAACCAAGGAGGAGCTAATCAAGTATTAAATCATTAACTACAATGAGTAAAATCAGATGTGATAAAGAATTTTTATATATTCTGATGTTACCAAAATTCTTACGCAATATATATAACTCATAATATCTACACCAATTTTAACAGCATTATAGGGGCATCCAATTATAAAAAGGTGTACTAATTCTCTTAAATAACAACAAACTGAACCTTTCAAATTTTTATAAATTTGATGTCAAAAATTCAAGGCTAAATAGTATCTCAAAATATCATTCCAGGCCTATAGACAAGGTTGGTGAGAAAAATTGGTTTAATTGAAAAGAAAAATTGGTTTAACTGAAATGTAACAATAAATTTAACAAACCCAAACAATTAAACTCAACTGACCTTATGGAACTATTTAACGTCTGCAAATTCTTTAATAACACCAAAGTTAACTAAAGAGAAAAGAGAAAAATTTGATTAACTATTAGCTTACTTTCAGAAAGGAGTAAAAATTGAAATAGGCCTCACGAACAATAGATTGAACAATGCCAATCTGTAACGAAACAACCACAACAATATATATCAAAACACATGCATCTAAACCCTAGAACACACACCACGTAATCCCAATGGCACAGCCTATCATTCTAAACATCAAATATTCAACAACAGAAGTAATTAGAAAGAAATAGAATGAAAAGAAAAACATATAAAAAATAAATCACTGAACGAATCATTTAGAAATATTCGGATAAGATTGATAGTTGGTGAAGAAAAATATATGGGAGTAACAAAAACAACAAAATTGGTGAAACCAGAATCACCATGATGGCAGAAAAAGATACAGATATAAAAATTAATATGGAGATAGAGAGAGATGAGTTAGGATTACCTCAAGACGGTGGCCGACGATGGTGGAAGAGAAGGGAAAGTGCGGCAATGGTACATGAGCCTTAGACTCATGCCCAATTTGTTGGATTGGAAGCAAGAATCTCACATTGTTGAAGATGAGAGAAAGTGGGCGAGTTTGATAGAGAGAGAGAGAATGTGAGTCTGTAAGCAGATTTGTGCCCTAGATAAACTTTAATTTTAAAAAGGAATAGCGACGGAAATAGCTACGGCAATAATTTTGTCGCTAATAATAACTTGGGCAAAATTATTCTTAAGAATCGAGCGACGGAATTTCCGTCGCAATTAACTTTTGGAATGTTTTGATAAGTAAAATAAACGCAGCAACAAAATTTTTGTCGTTAAATCCGTCGCTATATTTTAATATTTTTTGTCGCCCCACTTTTGTCGCTAATTTTGTAGGTAAATAAAGGCGCCAATTTTTAGCGACTAACGTAAATTATTGTCGCTAATCCATCGCTATATTTGGTACTAAATCTTTTGTAGCTTATTTGGCGACAAACAACAAAATTCGTCGCTAATCTGTCGTTATTTAGCTACAGAATATGGCTTGTCGCTAAAATCCGTCGCTAAACGTTGTTTTTTTTTTTTTGTAGTGGTGCACTTCTTTCAAAGGAATTCTATGACTGCCATGATTCTGCTTGTTACTTGTCCCACAAACAATTCTGAACTCAAATCATATATACTTGACGTCAACCCTTTTTGCATATAGGCTTGACGTTAGTATGAATTTATAAGACGAAAGCAAATTTCAGATAAATACAGAAAAATGACTTCCAGTCCAATAAAATAACTTACATTTGCATAATGCAAATTGCACTTTGCAGAAAGAGTGATAAAGATGCAAAAATCGGCTATTTCCAAAACATAAGAGGAGTAATTAAAAATAGAACAAATTCATTACCAAAAAGATTATAAATAAAATTAGCCCGTAATGGCTGAGACTACTCGAATTTAAACAACTTTTATTATAGTATGTAACACTTTACATGTACTAAAATAAAGTTGTCCTCAAGCTGAATTTGTCTCACTAGACCACTTTTTTCTGCTTCTGTTGCTAGTATTAGGAATCCTACTACTATTCCCATGATTATTATTGTTGCTATTATTACTTGCTCCGCAAACAATTCTGAACTCAATACCATATGCATTTCCAAAGCAAGAAAACAACCCTCCGTCAGAGTTTCGCCGTGAATGTCCTCCGTTTACCACCGCTTGCACCGCCATCTCCTTCCTCCCTTTCTCTATACTTGATGTTAACCCTTTGGCATATGCTTCCTCTGCTGTTAAATCCTCTAATATTGAGCTTTCCCCATCTTCCATTTCCTTTGGTTGTTTGATATGCATTTCTTTTGGTGGCTCTGGTCGTGCTGGCTGCGGTGGTGGTTGGTACCTTGAGTATATAATAAAAGTAAGTAAAAATATTATTTATCTGATAATTTAAATAATCATATAATTAAACATGACATACCCGATTAGCTTAGTGGTTAAATATCATCTTTAAAAATAGTAAGATTATTTTTTCATTTTATAAAAGACAATTTTAGTCCACTGGACTAATGTAGGACAAAATTTAAATAGTAGCCTCAGAAAAAGGTAATTTGTGCACATGACCCTCATCGCCACCGATTATCAAATTTATATGTGCTTGACCCAAACATAAAAAGTTAATAAAAATTTTTGCTCTCAAGAAGTTTGTAGATGAGTTGGTTACACAGTACCTTTTAGCGGCTATCTCAGCTGCAACAATGGAAGCTGATGGACCAATATCGGAACACAATTCTGAGCCATTTACTATAGACCCATTTACCATTGAGCCATTACAAACTGAGCCAGCTTTGTTAGGAAAATCTTCATTGTTAACCTCTGAATACCCTAAACTCAAAGATCTCCATAGTTGGACTTTGTCATTTATTTGCCTTTGTTTCTCATCATCTACTTGATAATTTTCATTAATTTTCTTGTCTAAAATGTCTCGATAATTCAAAGAAGAAGGATTCATAATTTCACTACAAATTAGTGGCATACTTTTCATAGAACTATTAATAAGTGAGACGCCCATGTTGAGAATTCCTTGTGGATTTCCTGATGGCCTTCTAATTTGTAAAGCAACAAATCTTTTGCCATTTGAATTAACAAAAGGGTTGATGAGATTGTTCAAAAGAACATGAACTGTACCAACTAGCACATCCCTAAACCAAGAAACGGTGTAAATCTCAACATGAACTGCAGAAGTTTCTGAATATAGGAACTCATCATTGACCTATAAGATAATAGAATAAAACAAAGTGAGAAGAATGGAGAAAAAATTTTGAGACTTGAAAACATGAACTTTTCTTAAAGAGATATTGCATATATATAATATTTTGGAAAGAAATACAAACAAGTTTTTTCATGATAAAACAAAACCATTTTGGTTCATGAATATAATAGACATGTCCTTTTAATTTAAAACTTGCTAAAAAGAACTAATTAAAATTTATATCTTAATTTAAATTGATCAATTGTTTAAATAAAACAGAAAATACCAAGTCTTTTAACAAATAAAACCATCAAAACTCAAATTTTGCCTATATGAGACAATCCCACTTTATATATATTACAAATAGGGGCGGAGCTAGCTAGATGATAGGGGTTCAATTGAATCTAGAAAATTATGCTGTGCAAACAGGCAAAAAACATAAATTATTGAATCCCTTAAATTAAGAGAATATTATAGTATAATAGTAATAAAATAGGTTCAAATATTGCTTTATGTCACATGTTGACGTTTTTATTTTTTTTCGAACCCCTTATTTAAATTTCCGACTCCACCACGAATTTAAAATTTAAATAATATCTAACATGCATGGAACCTTGAAGGAGAACTTGTCATTCCATGAGGGGTTGTTGTGTCCTTCATTGTCAATACGTGTGCTTCTTTTTTTGTTCGGGTTAATCCATGTGAGGGCATAAGTACGTAGAGATTTGGATACAGGAGCTAAGTCTTGGGCAGATATGAGACTAATTTCAATAATGTGGTTATAATTGCTGCTGTTAGGGGCAATATTATTATTATTACTATTAAGTGAAGGTTGATAAGAGAGAGAGGAGGATTCTGGTGTCGTCGAGATGTTGTTGTTAGGGTCCATTGATATGTTATTGCCGCCGTCCGTGGCGGCGACGACAACAACAACAAGGAGATGGTGGTGGAAATTGGCAGTGGCATCTAGAGAGAATGAGATGGTATAGGTGACAAATTAAGAAGGAATGTGTGTATGTTGTTTTGTTTGAGTTTTGAATGGATGCGAATTTTATGGCGATTTTGAGGGTGTTTGATGTGTTTGGACCATTATTTTTCTCTTCATCGTTTATGGTCAACGTTAGCCATATCAAATTAAAAACTCTAAGAGAGCGTCTTCTCTTATATTTCTTTTGGGAGAAAATTAAAAATAGTCAAATTTACAAGTGGTAATTAAAAAATAGCTATAATTTTAAAAGTAATCGAAATTTAGCCACTTTGCGTGTAAAGATAAATCTGAACGAAAACAATGTTCAAAATCCGAAAAATATTCCAGCATAATATACTGGAGTTCCAGTATAATATACCGGTCCAGTATAATATGTTGGAAGTTCATACACAGGTGCTCTAATCTCCAGTATATTATGCTGAAACTTTCCGCGTGTTGGAGTTCCAGCATAATATGCTGGAAGTTCATACACAAGTGCACCAATCTCCAGTATATTATGCTGGACCGATCCGTGTTGCAACAAAACAGTGGCTATATTTCAATGACTTTACAAACGCTGGCTATTTTTCAATTACTAATCCGATAATTAGCTAGCCCGTGCTATTTTTACGTTTCTTTTGGGATTGAGGGTTTCAATTATGAATGGCAGGAAGCTTATCAAGTGCGCTAGCTCTCAACATCCAAACTAATGAACCTAAGTTATATTCATAATGTAAATATGTTTACCTCATTAGTGAATTTTAATATATGATATACTAGGTTAGTTATCATTTTTACTATATTAACAATAATATTTATCAAGAATTAAACTTATAGTTATCTAATAATTAACCTGATGGTGTATATATTTTTATGTTGTAGGTGTATAGAACTTAAACTCCAAACTAATATAGTTTAGTCTTACATCTTGTCACGACCCAAAATCCCTACTCATGAGTCATGATGACACCTAGTTCCTAAGACTAGGTAAGCCTAACACATAGAGAGTTATTTAACAGATTTATACAAATCAACCATTTAACATGAACCAGAAATTTCTATACAAAGCCAACAACCATCAATAGATATACAATATCCCAAAATCGATAGTACAAGTCATAAGCTCTACTTAGTTCGCTAGAAAATCTCTAAGTACAACAGTTCCAGAATAGAAATAAACAGTACAAAGTAAATTTTAGAATGTGACTCAGAGGCTTGCGAACGCGATGACAGGTATACCTTGAAGTCTCCGCAACAACTCACAATCAACTAACTAATGACCAGCGCGCTCCGAAGTACCTGGATCTCCACAAAAATATACAAAAAGCGTAGCATGAGTACACCACAGCAGTACCCAATAAGTATTTGGACTAACCTCGGTGGAGTAGTGACGAGGAACAGTCAAGACACCAACTAGACATAATAACCTGTACAAGTACGAATATGAAACTAACAAGGAACAATATCAATATAAAGCTAAGCATGGTAAGAATAACAAAATAATACTTGCAATAGAAAACTAGAAGCAACAATTAGCAACCAGGAACAATAGGTAATCACGCCGAAAAGTAAGCAGAATACAGTTAAAGTCCTGTAAAATCAAGTAAGGGAAAACATGTAACAACCCAATAGAACAACCGCTTTCACACAAGGTTCGTATAAGAATTTCCCCGAGGTACCATACCTCATAATCACAATCACGGGTCCCAAATTACGAACCCTAATCACTTGGCATCTTGTGCCTACATTACAAATAACATCCGCACGAACAACTCACGTGCCAATACCATTAATATCTCATATCTGTACGGACAACTCACGTGCTAGCAGTAACAATACATCATAACCGCACGGACAACTCACGTGCCAATAGTAGCAATATCTCATATCCGCACGGACAACTCACGTGCCAATAGTACAACTCATGCACAGAAGGCAGGCATACAAGAATGCATGTAAATGATCACTAAACAT